ATACAATATCGGATGATATCTAAATAATCCCGATTTAAATTTCATTTTAAAACAATGAAACCACTATTTTTAATTCAACAACAATAACAGCAACAGCACCAGCGGCAGCCAATCTTCAAAAGTTCATTTCTGTATTGTCTATTGTTATATGAAAACCGACTGGATGTTCAACGGATGATCGATGACCAGCAGAATTTCATTTTCAGCCTTCTTTTTTCAATTCCACCATCGTTTGTCACCTTTATCCGACCCATAGCTCCGTTTTCAACTTTATGCATCGTTGAATTGCCGAAATAATTCTTCCAAATCAAATTAATCTTTTATTATTTCTAAAGTTTATGCAACATTTGGCAATTTTAATTAACTGAGCAAATTTTTCCTGAAAATAAAAAAAAATTTGCAAATTTTCGAATTTTCATATTCGAAACAAATCTTCCTTCCAAATCTATTTGAACAAACAAAAAGGATGAAGTTCATTTGATTGATATGATAAAATGGGGGATTACTATCTGCTGACACTTTTCAAAATAGATATCAATTTTTACTTACTGATTATTACTTCAGAAGTAAAGGGAGGGGAAGAGAAAGAGAAAGAGGGAGAAAAAAGGAGAAAATAGAACAGGAAAGTGAATGTCTAAAATGGATGTCACGAAAGACATGTGCGATATATTACACAAATGGAGCGCATTATTGCAAAGTCATAAGAAATTATTAGTAGTCTGAACGAAAGTCATTTAAAAAAATAAATAAATATATTTCAAAATGACTAATAACATCAATCATTCAAATCAAACAGACAAACAGCGCCTATGTAAACATTCATCCTTTCAAGAATACAGCTAAAATCATCAATTCCTATCAATTTTGTAGCATTTTTCCAGAAAGATTGTTTACACAATAAGAAGTATATATGATTAATGCAGCTATTATTAATGGAGTAAGTGTAATACACAGGTAAAATACTGCAAATGACATGCATATTGTATTTCGATTATTGATCACAGGATATAATAATGTCCGATATCGTGAATCTTCTGGTAGTGCTGCTTTCTGCAAAAAATAAAATTTGAAAATTCATCATTAATGGTATTACAATTACATTCGCATGTATTAGCGCGTTTAGATTTATGCAAATAGCACACTTTCAAATCATAAATTTGCCTGTCACTACTGAAAGTAAACTGTATTAAGGCTTTGCAAGCTTAATGCCAGCGCAGGAAATATTATAATAAACTCATATCTAACAGTTAGGTTTATTTTCTGTTGCAATAAGAATGAAGTTTAGCTGTTTAAATTAAATTTAAATTTAAAGTTCTGTTCCTGAATAATTCATATTTAGAGAAAGAAAGAAAAAAATTAGTCCGTTGGCATAAATATTTCATATTGATTTTATACTTTTTTTTAAAATCAACTTTGCAGTTTTAATGAAAAATTTGCATGCAATTAAATTAAGCTAATTAAATGAAACCAAAAACTAAAGACATGAAATATATTCACTTCTTATTTAAATATGATTAGGGATTTTATTTGAAATGCATGTTTTATAAATGATCGCTAACACAATGAATAATTCCAGTTTAAGAGCTTCCACTAAAAATTTTTCTTTTGATTATAAAAATTTCTACTGACTATAAGCAAAATGCAAATGCATTTTGCAATAGAGCAAATTTTCTTTTTGGCTTCAAAATGCTACACTCTAAAGATAGTGAAATATTTGTTAGCTATCAAAAATGGAATTAAATTATTCCGAATTTACATTCTTGCCAGAATTTTCTTCATTTCAATTCAAAATTAAATTCTGAGACTAATTCAAACCTCATCGATGATATCCAATGTATTGATATCAGTCCTAACATCCACTGTAGTATCATAATCAGCAGCTCTCTTTCTCAATAATCTCATTTGCAATGCAGGTGTCACTAATTCTGTTTCTCGATTTGTCCTACCACTTTCCTTAATTGCACCAAATCCTTCTGGTTCTGGACATTTCGGTCGTTCACATTCTCCATTTGGTTCTTTGATTGTGATCGTTATCTGACATTGATAAAAAACCTGTGATCGATCAGCATATTTATATACGTGAGCTTCTTGTCCAGCTATTAGATCGGTTGGATATTCTAAGTTATTCAAGAGGTATTTATCCAAAGCACATCCTTCATCGTTTAAAATTTGCACTGTATCACCGTTACCATCATCAACGAAACACGAATGTACCAATGCACAAAACGTGTCCTCTGTTTCTGAATCACATGTCCATTTGTGATATACTGGCTGACCAACCATTGCATACCGAATCGGTTGTCCATCTGGTCCACCCTCCAAAAGCTAAAATTTTGAAATCAATATAGAACATGATTGGAAACAGGTATAATTTAATAAAGCATTAATTATTTAACGAAATCATTCAATCAGAGATTACTAGAAATAAAAAGTTAATCTTGGATATGAATATTTTATACGTAACATATTTACATAATTTTTTGAAATGAAAGAATTTGAAAAAAAAAGAAAAGTAGAAAAAATATAAAAAGGAAGAAAAAATTTAAAAAAA